AAGGCCACATCACTTAGTGCTAATCGCTTGGTGAATTGAATTGTCATGATTAAGATTTCGAATTTGGAAAAGGTGTAAAATTATACCATCCAGGTCGTAATTTCGATTCTTTTTTGCTCGTTTTTCCTTGACGCATCGGAAAAAGTGGGTGCTAATCGTCATGAACAAGATCTTGGGTCTGGGTCAAACCGTTACTGACGATTGATACTGGTGATGAAGATAACTTCAGTGGCCTAATTATCACTAGTTTGATCTCCTAATGATGATTCATCACTTCATGAGGAAACGCTTCGTTCAGGTGCTACAATGCTGTAGATACTACATTTGATCGCAAATCGTCATCAAGAGTTAATGGTTCTTCTGCCTCTCTTGCATGATTCTCAGAACCTTCATTATCAGATACTGCTGATTCTTCTACATCAATTGCAGGATTTACAAAATCGCTACCAGTACTTGAATCGGAAGATCATGCACGGGTATCTGAAGCAGCGTGCGTACCTTATACCGTAAAATACGGCAAAATTGCCAACTTATTTTTGCCAATATTGTCAATTAGGCGGTATTTTTCGCTAGCCATAGACATCCGGTTAAGGAGTGAATTCTCCAGCGTGTAATTCAGTTTCCTTGTGAAATTTTAGGAGGGTATCATTTGTGTAAAACTGATCAAAAGAGGAACCGTGGTACTGTATATTTTCTTATTATCTTCTTACTATACTTCATAATTACTTTCGGCTGTACCTATTACCGCGATCTATGTAAGTGAGTGTGTCGTTTTCAACTGTCAGGTTAACTTACTTAGATTTGTTCAACAAGAAGTTTGAATGGATTGATTAGGATGTGATTCATGTACGCTAATTTCTTCCTTGCTGGTTGATTTAATCTCGACGGTCCTAATCCACGATCCCGGTTAATTTAAGCCAGAAATCAATTTAACTACAGCTAGTCAGAGTCCATTATTGACCCCGCAGACTTCCGTTAATTCTGCGAAGTAATTCCTCCCTATGCAGCGTGGACAACAGAGCTAGCTCGCAGTGTCTGAACTTTGGAAGCTACTGTGAATCATCGACTGTCGATATTTTCCCATTTAAAGCTATAGTGAAAAATCGATTATTGGGGTGTTCGATTCTAATTCGATCCTTTTCTACAGGTGCAAATGGAAGATTGATCGATTCATCGCGAAGCACGACACGCCGCCACCGGAAACCGTGAGTCGAGTCGTAGCAACGGGCGGTGTAAATTAGGGGATGATCGGATTAGGTATCATGCTTTGGTTCATAACGTATCCAGTGCGGAGAGGAGTGGGGCAGACTAAGTTTTGACACCAATGAAGGAGGCGGAGGGATGGGAGCCCCAAGTCACCGCCCCGCAAACCATCCGAGCCATCGAGTATCAACACAATGAGGCTCCAGCGTGGAACGTCTGGGGATGTCATACTGGACGAAACGCGGAATCCAAGCTCATCGCGTCGGTAAATTGAAAACGTCACGAGCAGAGACGAAATGAGCTGCAGTTAGTACGAACAGGATAGAGTATCTTTTTGAAGAGAGTAACGGGCACGGCACGTATGGATCCATTTGTGATAGCGCAGTCATCTTAAGCCGTGTTCGCACGCTGAAAGTGCACGAAAATCTATGGCTCTTTAACGCAATTAGTGGTTAAGTATTTTTTTGAAGAGAGTAACAGGCACGTATGGATCCATTTGTGATAGCGCAGTCATCTTAAGCCGAGTTCGCACGCTGAAAGTGCACGAAAATCTATGGCTTTGTAACGCAATTAGTGGTTAAGTATCTTTTTGGAGAGAGTAACGGGCACGTATGGATCCATTTGTGATAGCGCAGTCATCTTAAGCCGAGTTCGCACGCTGAAAGTGCACAAAAATCTATGGCTCTGTAACGCAATTAGTGGTTCAGACAACAGAACATTCAGATGAACGAGAAATCAATTAGAAATGGGGGAAAATTATTTATTTTTTTTTTTCCAAAGGTACTTGTACACTGGAAAAAAAACGCACTGGATCTAGCGTCCAGACTCTTGAAAACATCGACAAGAAAACAGACTCTTGATTCAAGCAGATTTAAGCTTAAATCAAAAGGAAATCCGCTCAAATTAAGAGGCTTGGTTCTTGATTTAAGCTTAAATCTGATTGAATCAAGAGTATTCTTTCTTGTCGATGGAGTCTGGACTCTATGTCCAACGTGTTTTTTTGTTTCCAGTGCATAATCGATACGCGCTGGCTAAAATGCCCGTGGGATGCGGCAGGATGTGCGGTGATTGTAGCGATTCTGCCATTCGGTGGAGAACATCATGTTTAATTTTCAGTGGTTGGTTCGGCTTGAATTTCGCTGAAAAGATATGCTTCTCTTCAAGGGGCACAGTACACTTTGACTGGGTTACATTAAACCAGTCAATTTTGTGATTATTTTTATCGTCATTCCAGCTGGAAATGAACCTGCGTCGACTCGAACTATATCTCCTTCTTGAGGCGCTCTTTTCTCTTACATTTTCCGGCGGAGGGGGGGGGGCGTTTAGTAGCTGCATATCTCTCGAGGGCAAGTGGACGTTTTAAGGGCATCAGGATATCAGGAACTTACGTCACCATTAGCGGTTCGAGGGGGGCAGGGGGTCAAAAATTCCAAATTCAACGGCATGAATGAAAATCATTCTTTAGTTTGGGTTAATATTTTCCTATTTATTTATTAAACTGTTGTTTCTTCAGGGTCTGTCTCCAACAGCACCAAGGGTTTAAATAGCGTTTCGAGGGGGCAGGGGGGTAGAAAAATTCCTAATTAAACGTTGCGTATTTTCTACAATACCCCCCCCCCGGCGTACTCGGGAGTCGGCAAATTGCGCCGATGCAGAAAAAGACGATTGGTAAACTGCGCCGAAACTGAAAATCGTAAAAAGTTAATTGCGCCGATCTGAAAGATGGAAATGGTAAATTGCGCCGATCTGACACACGGAAATGGTAAATTGCGCCGATTCCATCGTTTTTCAGGGGGTTTGGCAACACTGCCGATCAGCTCGGAATAAATAAGTGAAATTATAAGCCTACCATCATATTATTTCTTTGCTGAACTTAAGTGATATGAGGCTTTTTTGACGAATTCGTACCGCGGCAGTTCACCTTTCCAGTACTGATTCAGAAGGTCTTCAACTCTCTTCTGTTTTGTTTTCACGATTTCTCTAGATCGGCGCAATTTACCAGCTTCCGCGTACTCGTCTTAGATTTTACTCATTCATGATCTTGTAGTTATATTAATGAGTGTGAGGGCACAGTTCCCTGGGCTGAGGCTGCCGCAGGAATGGGCCGCAGCCTCCCCTTTCCTCCCCCGCTCATGACTCGAAGTTAATGGCATTCAGGAACGTCGCGGTGTGACGTCGTCGTGTGCCGTGCTGTTTGTCACCGCGTGGTTGACGTCCGGCTCTCCTCTTTTGGCCTCGGCCCGGTCCCGTGTCAACATCCCAAGAGCGCATAATTTCACACCCACCAACCCCACGGCGCACAGCGGATCGGGTCAATGGGAGAGGTCGGACAAAGTATTTCGAACTCATAGGTGGGTAATTTTAAGATAATTTTTCAAGAAAATAGAAGGAATTTCCGATTTCCTCTGGAAGGAGAAACAGTCAGCGAAAGGATGGTGGATGACAACGTGGGGGCCGCGATGGCCAGATTCTGGGGGGCGATGGGGGCAAACCCGGGCGGGGGGCGCGACAAGTCGGGAGTCCCAAGACCCAAATCAGGGGGAAGATACGGGGGAGCGGGGCGGAGAGGGACGGACGGAAAGCCAGGGGGG